TAATGAATATTGTGGTTTCTGTAAAGATGTATTCAGTAAATAGTAATAAAATAAAAATATGTAAACCATAAAATTTTTAATATGAATTAAATAATCATGAATTTATAATAGTTAAAATACATGAGTAAATTTTACTTTTATTCCTTAAATATATACAATCTTTTTTATGCTTAATTATTAGTTATTTTGCTAAGCCAATAAATTATTTTTCCTCATGTAAATTAGTTTCATGTGTTAAAAATTATATTACGTGTACTTTTAGAACTCTATTTAATATTTTGTTTATGAATATGCACCACTAAATGTGTATATATATTCATTTTAGCGAGTATAGTTTATAAATATATTAAATTATTTTTAATTATTTATATTTTTATTTGTGTGTATATATGTATATAATATTAGTGGTTTTATATCGCACAAAATGTTTTATAATTTATGAGTTCTTTTATAGTGTAACATCATAAAAATTTATTTATATTTTAATTATTTTATATATTATTTTTTATTGGTATACTTCAATAAATATGCCATTCTCTTAATTGATATATATTTATGTTCTATTTCTTTGAGACTAACCGAACATACTTATATATTGTTATAAACTTATGTATATCTAAAAGTAAGTTACTTTTTCTATACATGTTAAAATAATCCACTACAGTGTTTTTATTAACTTGATTTCTTTATATATCACTATAAAATATATATATTCAAAGAGAGAGTTATGCATTCAATTGTGATCTACATATTTTAGTGTGCTTAATTATGCATTCAAATTTTCTTATTATAATTTCATATAGAGTTATATTTATGTATATAAAAGGTTTTAGTTCGTTAATTAATATTATATAATGCACTTAAGTGAATATTATTAATGAGTTAATTTTTTTTTGGTATCTATATAATTATGTTATTACATTCAATGATATTTTCAATCCCTTTGATGAAATATGTTATTGTATGATACTTGACCAATATAAATAATTTCACAGATTTTTTTTATGCGAATTTTTGGTGTTAACATAAATAAATAATCATGTTCTACAAACAATATTTTATGTCGACGTATAATTCATTACACAATGTACTAAATGGTATTACCTTTTATTTTATGTATCTCCTAAGTGTATTATGCAAAAATTTTTTGCTATATTATATGGATAGTTTTTTAATTATTTGTTTGAGCATTGTAAATTAGAACCTATTTATTTGTTAGTATTATATATTTAAGACTAGCTTTATTTATTATTCTTATATGTGCCCATGAAACAACTGGATTAAATAAATGATAAATATTAAATATGAAAAAAATTATAAAAGTATTTACACACAATAGAAATATTTTAGAAAATACTTATGAATAGTTTTATTATAATATTAGCATGTATCATATAAAATAATAATTACCAATCATCTAAATTATAAAATACATTAATGTACTCTTAAAAAAATATTAAATTACTGTAATTCATGTTTATAAAGAAGTCTTCATAAAAAAAGTAATATATATAATTAAATCTAAGAAAAGCTTGGGGATTATTGTTTTATATAGTTTTTATATAAGATAAATAGTATTCTATTTTATAGCATACCTTTGTATAATACACTTTCTAATATTTATGTGTTCAATTATATTTATTAATTTATGGATATAAATAGGACTAAAAATGTGAGAACTGTTACCAGTGGTTATATGATATACTAATTTAAATTTATATAAAACGGAGGAAAATTTTTTCATTTACGCATAATTTTATTTTTAATGATTTCTGTAAATGTATATTTTTTTGCATAAATTCAATACATTCATTCTTTAGAGGAATATTTTAATTTTTTTTTTTTATATAATCCATTTTGAGCATTCAAATTTAAAGGATCCACCTTTACATAATCCACATGAGAAATTTTAATAAAGATGTCGATGATAATAAGTTAAATGTAAAGCATTGAAATAAAGTAAATGATTCTAGATTTTCTATCAATGAATTAAATGATTTGTGTATTACAAGATGAAAAGCATTTAATTGAAATGAAACATAGTATATTATATAATCATCAATGCTTACATGTCCTTTACTAAAAATGCGAAAAATCATGGGCATCCAGAAACAACTTCATTTATGGCACTTTTTTATTTAACATCTTAATAAAGTAAAATATTATTTAATTGATATACGAAAAATGTCTATTTGTTCATATTTTTATTTTGAGGCACATATTTTGTAATAACTTATTGAAGAAATATTTGTTCATCATTCTATTATGTATTTTAGCAATATATTAGGAAATTACTCCTTCAAAATGGATAGAATGTGTATATTCGTAGAATACATTAATATAATAAAAACTATATATTCAAAACATAGAGATCCTTGCTTTTCATTAATGTCTAATATATGTTTAAAATATTTTGTATGTGATGATATGCGTAATGCAGATAATTTCTTTTCATTGTTAACATGAAATTTTGACAATTCATTCTATGTAAAGATAAAATGTATTAAAACATGTAATTGTTTAAACGTAAGCATTTAACAATATTTGTTTATGTTTTACTATTCTTTTCATTTTTATATATATTTAAAGTAAGACTGTTAACATTAGTCAAGTGCTGTTAATGGGTGATGTAAAGGGCAAAAAATAAAAAAAATGCATTAATTTATTATATTTTTTATTAAATGAAAAGTTTTTTAAAAAAACAGATGATGAATGATATATGCAAGCTATATATTCAATAAAACAGTTATATTTAATATACAAAATTCAATTATTTCGACGAATTTGAAAATAAAGTGTAAGAAAATAGGAATATATGATAGTTACACAATCCATTAAATAAATAATTCTCCTTTACATAATCATACATATTTAAAGGACTTTAATAGTGATTATAAGTAAAAAATGAAAAGGAAAAAAATATATATTTAATTCTAACCTGAAAAACAATTCCCTCATAAACAAAAAGACCCTTATGCACTAATATAAGAAATAATAGTTAATTTCATTGTGTTTCACCATACTTCTATGTGTATAAGAAACTTCAATAATTAATATATAGATCCACAATCATGTAAAATATTTAATATTCTAAATTTATATAAAATGCTATATCAGTGTAATGTGTCTGAAAGGGCGCGAGATTATTATTCTTTATAATTATCTAAATTTTTCTACATAAAATGTTGTCCAATATTATTATGATTAAAAAAAAATAGATTATATAAAATGTCTCAATAAATTTGATCTCATATAATAATATAGTTTTTCAATATTACACTGTTTTTTTTACTGGTAATAAACATAAATATGGTTAAAAAGGGGTTAGTAATGTGTAATTATTATATAGATTAGGCTAATATGTTTCAAACTTTATGTACACATTTTTATCACGTTAGAAATATGTAAAATTTTATTATTTTTTATTACTATTTTGACATGATGAGGTTTATCCTGCAACAAAAAAGCTGTTCCAAATTTTGTGATCACATTTATTTATTTTATAATGTTACTAAAATAAAATAAAACATATGTAGTTAAAGGTTAAAAATAAATATAAATTAAAACAAAAATTTAAGTTTTTTCATATATTTAAAAGGTGTTAAATATTGATGGAACTACTTGACTTTGTAATTATAACTTTTGGAAATAATTGGAACAATTGAATTTTTAGTAAAATGTTCTAATAATATATTTTTTAAAATATTTTGAAACGAAATTTTTTATAAAATTATGCAAGCTAGTTTTTATTTTTTCCGCTCTTATATTTATTTTTATAATATCAGTTATAGATGTGCACAACTGGGCTTACACTATGTTATCAGTACTGGGTGTAATAGTATAGCGCAGTTTTAAGGTGCAAAATAATTTACAACACAGTAACATTGTTATTATTCCGCAGAAACCATTTAATATCAACAATGCTTGAAATTTCATTTAGAGAATATTCAAAAAATCTGATAAATTATTTTATAAATAATTCAACAAAGAAATTAAGAATATCTTCATTAATTTATTATTGGCACTATAATACAATTATTAAATACGTAAACAATTAGTGTGTTGCTTATATTGTTATATATAGTTTGATCTTTTTTTTGTTTTCGATTTTATCTTATAATAATTAAAAATAGCTCTTTTTTACATAGTGTTAAAAAAAAAAGAGTAGAATATATTAGTAAATAATAATGCCTACAAATGTGTAGTTTTTTAAATTCCAAAAATGAAGTAAAATATTTCCTAAATATATTGACAGATTATTATATATTCTGGCATTTTATATATTAATATAGAAAATTTGATAACATTTATAATTTCAGACGTATAATTATGTTAAAAGATGACGAAGACAACAGCTACGCTTAGTTTGGTAAAAACAGATACATAAATTACTGTTTATGAACAAAAACTTTCATAAGTTCTTTCTCACGTAACATAATTGTATTGTATACGTTGTTAAAACTTAATTTTAGTACTTACGCTATAACTATTTTATCATTATTTTCAGGAGGAAGCTGCAAAGAGTTTAAAACTTAATGAAATGTTTGAAGAATTCTTTGCAAACCAAGAAACATTTAATTATCAAAGTTATTGTAACAAAGTAGAAACGTATGATAGTAAGTATGATGGAGTCAGTGACCTCTGCAGAAAACTAGTAGGATTTTTAGAAAAAGTCCACCAAAATAGTTATATAAAGATGCATAAGGATTATTGTGATTATTTAACCTATTGGTTACATGATAAAGTAGGTGAAATATATACAAGTACTTCAGAAAAAACGGCTGATATACCATTTTTTAAAGGTCTTATTGATGTGATTAATACGGTTAACGGAAAGGTTAAAGAACATAAGTGTAAAATACAATATGACTATGAAACTACTTTAGATGAATGGAGAAATAGGAAATTTACTTACATTTACTTAAAAAAATATAATGATATTAAAAAAGGTATTAGTGCCAAAACTAAAGATAACTGTAATACATATATTACCTACATTAATAACATACATACATTGTATAAAAAGTATAAGGGTGATTGTAAACTTGGTATCTTTTGGTATTCTGGTCCTAATTATGCTGATTGTTCTTTTATGTATAATCCAGATAAATTAATATCTACATTAAATGATTGCAATGATGAAGAACGCACACACTTTGTAGACGTAGGTATGGGATCATCAACAAATAGAGAAGTTTTAGAAAGTGGGAAACGTGAAAAAGCTGAAAGTTCTCCTAATCCACGTCAAGAAGGTTTATCAAGCTCGTTAGATTCATCAGGTAAACCACATTTACCAAGTCCACCAGATGAAGATGGTAAATTAGATTCTCCAATCCCACAAGAGGTAAGTTCATATTTAGAAATTCCATTAGTTTCAAGTAAATTAATATTAGAACCTTCAGGAAGAGAAGAATCGTTAGATCATAGAGACTCTGAGTATTCTAAAAGAGGACCTTATATTCAACAAGGGAATTATGATCATCATCATGCTGATTCTACAAGTATACTTATACCATATGAGGGGTCCACGGTTTCTTCTAATTTTTTTCAAAAAATATATGATATATTAAATTCAAATAATCTGCGTCACACAATCATGTGTGCTTCAATAGTTGTAGTAGTTATCTTCCTCATATTTTTCTTTTCAGTAACTAAGAACTCTATTTTAAAGGATAAAAACCTTTTGATGATATTCACATTTTTTATTTATGAGTGTAATTATGAAACCAGAAAAATTGCATTTTTTACCTTTTTTTTTTTTTTTTTGCATTAGTCTACTTTGTCAGGTTCCCTATTAAATAAATGTGATGAAAAAAAAAGAGATTATGAGAAGGATTCTTGTGATAGGGGCGAAGAAGAATTTTCAGGATGTGGAACAGAACTACAACATACGAACTCCCATATAAGTGATGTATATTTGTCATATCAACCTAGGCGTGATTATTATGGTTAATTAAGTATATGACTTGAAAACTATTAGAATAACAATTACAGGAGGAAATATTATTAGCATTATTTAAGGAATTATCTTTATGAACGACAGAAGAACAAAATTAATTCTTATATAAAGAAATTCTTTGAGTATTTAAATTACTTCATGAATAATTAACATCTACTCGAAGTCAATGAACATCTAGAAGTGACAGAAAACGTATATACATTATGGAGAAAAATAGTTTAAATAGAATTGGTAGGGGCATATTCGCACATAATTTCAAAGAAAATAAAATTAATTATTCTAAAAGATCGTGCGGAAAATAGGTTAATTATGTATATTTAAATGTTTGATGCAAATGACTCTATATTGATGCAAAATTCAGATATGAAAGACAAAAAAAAAATAAATATGAAAAAACGATAGAAACAGTTCCTATGGATAGTTTAATAAAACATTGTATTAAGAAATTTATTCGTAAATAATAATACACATTGAAAAGTTCTTGTGAACATTTGTTTGATTATTTTTAATTAATGTAAATAAAAAGAAATTTTGTTTTAATTCATTATATTCATGCCGACGTAATAAATTAGCCATAAATATTACAGTCTCCTACTTAGTTTTTTTTGTAGTTATTATTCTTCATTTTGTTTTTTCTTTGTTTCTTATTTCTTATTATGTTACGTTTAAAAAATTATTTTATTTTAATATATTTTTTTTTTATTAAGACCTACCTGTATTTTTTTGTTAAGTGTGTCCCACAGTTTTAATATTATGGAAATATCATAAGCTGCTCGACGGTTGCAGACACGAATATGTGTATAATATTCCTTTATTCTATTTGAAATTTATTATAATTCAGATTAATATAATAATTTTTTAATTTACTCTATATGGTGTTTCTTTTTTCCTGTTTACACATCATGTACTAAAATGTAAGGCAAGAATTTAATATATACATTTAAAATTACGCTTTTAATAATAAAAAAAAAATATTAAATATAAAAAGTTTGTATTTTATTTGATATATAAATAGACAAGTTTAATTTTTTTCATTTTAACATATATAGTTTTATATTATACAAGAAATACATTTTATCAAAATTTTAAGAATGTATTAATATATATATTTATGCACCAAAATACGGTGTATTATAGTTTTCGGGTGCTTTGGGGACGATAATTATTCTAATAATACATTTCTACTAAAACGGAGGATGTTTGTTTATTACTAATTATTTGTAGATATTTCTTTGACACTAGAACAGTGAGTTGCGTTCATGAATTATTAATGTTGACAACAGAAGAATTTTAAGTCTACGGCACGAAAATTAATAACAAATTAAGGAATATATTATAATATCCTAATATAAAGAATATATTCTGTTGTAACAAAATTTCTTACTGAATAATTTAACAATAAGTGAACAAATTTTTTAAAATGTTGTACAAAATCTTTATTTATTACAAAAATTGATTAATAGTATCCATAACTGTTAAATATATTGTTTAATTGTTGCAGAATAAAAGTTTAAATTTTATTAATAACAGAATTATTTAAAAGGGTGACAATGAAAAGAAGTGATTATTCGTGTTCATTAGCCCAAAAAATACAAGGAAGAAACAAATTAAAAAAAAAAAATAATATAAGTGTGCGCATACAATTAGAACAAACAAAATTGGAAAAATAATGGATATGCTATAGGATTTACAATGCATGTATTTGTTTTTCCATTATCTTATATATTAATCCATTTTATACACAAAAAGAGGGTAATGTATTAACCAATTAAGTACAAAAAATTGTGACCGGACTCATTACTCCAACAACAAAAAAGTAAAAAAAATAGTTACTCCATATAATTGCGTAATTATGCTTAACGTTTTATATATTATTCTTGTAATATAAAAGAAAGCAAAAACAAATTTGTATTTATTACAAATAAATTAATGCCTTGTTATGTTTAATGAAAAATACACTCTTAAAATTTTTTTTTTATGAAATAGGACAATGAGGAAAAATTATAATTTGTCATTATTCATGCTTTCTCACATTTATAATTTTTAAATTATGTTTTATTAGAAATGAATTTAAAGCACCCTTATCAATCTCATGGTAAAACGGTCATATATGTATGCTAATCTTTTAAATATTTCTATACATTTCAATATATATCCATATAAGAATTTGCATGCGCATGTTACGTTACCTACAAATGAATATTTTGTTTTTTTATTTCTCATATTATGTAATATATTTTTTCATTATTAGTAAATTAATTGTTCATGTTTTTCTTTCAAACTTTAAGATTTACCTAATTGTTTTCTCAAATACCCTTTTTATAGAAAGTGTTTCATTACAACCATATTTTTACTAGAACATTGCAGTTATGATTAAAAAATAGATGATTATATCTGTAATTATTTATAATAATATTTAATTTTATTACACACTTTCGAAAAATGATTTAATTACTTTGAAGTAGAAAACATTTAAATTTCTAATATTAAAAACAAGAGCAAAATTATTAAGTATGACAAAATATTTTTAATAGAATATATAAAACTTGGGGGGTGAGGAAAAATATATTGTAACAGGAAAACATATTAATGAATATTCCATAAGTTCAAGCACATAAGACTGTTTTGAATTATTACGAGATATACAATGATGAATAGCATTAAAGATTTGAACTTTTTCCTTTTTTCTATATTTTTCAATTTTCTTATATATACCAAAGTATTTCAGAATTACCAGAAAGGCGTATTTTACTATAAAAAAATTAATAACATATTAACATTATTTATATAATATTTTTAAGATAAAAATTTTATAATAATAACGTTTTTCTTGGTTGCAATTTTTATAAAACGCGAAATATAATTTATAAAATTTAAATACGTGAAAATTAAATTATGTCATTGTAATTCGTAAAAATAATACCTAACATAATAAATAAAAAGCTATATTTGAGCAATATCTGTTTCAAAAGATATGAATTTGTGCATATATTTTTTGATATTCTATATTATAACTTATATATATCACTTTATTTTTTTAGTTGATCAATTTCATACGAATACATATAAGTATTCTATATGAATTAACTTTATAAAATCACATTTTAAGTTACCATTATGATAGAAATATGTATTGTTATATGTTATAATATTACAAAACATATATTTTTTAGTATATAAATTTATTATTTTATAAATAGAATATTTCAAATAGTTTATAAAGGAGATATATTTATGTATTCACTGAATTTAATTTTATAGGCCATATTGTAATATATATAATATATAAATTACATTTCTTGTAATTTTTAGTACTTCCTAGATTTGCAAAGAATAAATATAGATAAATATCTTAGAGTTCTTTTATTATTTCATCGTATTAAAAATACTATATATCATATACATAAAAGAATGCGCCAATTATATATAATGTACTATACATACATGATTTGTGCATATTATTAATTTTTTAGTACTTAAAATGAAATGGAAGATATAATATAATAATAGGTGTTAACTAATATAATTTTCATTTATTTCATTAATTCATTATATAATTCACAACTATTAATGGCTATTATATTATAATTATGTAGTTATTTCATATAAAATAATAATATACATTATTATATGATGATAATACTTAATCAAAATATCTATGTGTATTGTTTAAATATCACAAAATTATTATTTTTATAGGTTAATCATAATTTACTATTAGAATGAATGAATTTATATATTTACATAATAATTGAGTACTAGGATAGCGATTGAATACTATTAAGGTACAGATACATTTATTTTTTTGCAATATTATTATTTATAAACAGAATATTTTTCATTATATAAATTTTTAATATTATTTCGATGTGTTAATTAGCAATTTACAGATTATTGAAACTGATTTCATATTAATACAGTTATTTTACTTTACATATTGTTCATATAAATATGGTTTCATATATATATGTAAAAAATATATTGAATTATTATAAGTATTTCAACATTCACAGGATTAATATTTTACACTTACAATATTATAATATGATTTTTTTAATATATATTAATACCAATTCATGAATGCAATATATATATATGTATATAGAGAGCATAAACACAAAAATAAATTTCATTTTTGCATTTTTCTAATAATACCATTAATATATATGTATAAATATACTTTAATTGGATTGCACTCTGTAATTCTTTGTACTATTGATGAATAATTAATGTTCTGATTACTTTTACTTTTTCAAAAAGATTCAATAATAAGATCTAATCGCATGCAAAATATTTAGCACGTATAATATGTGGATAATATTTTGATAATTACCATTACGTCAACCGTAAATTTATTTACAATGCATTTGTTGAATAGATGTATACATAATAAATCATTCTGAGTAACATTACGGAAATTTTTTTTAAAAATAATTTACATACAAGGAATGAATGGAATAATATTCTTGTTAGCCTTATATATAAAAATATTTTTTTATTGTAATGAGTTTATAATAACTTAATTTACAAGTACAACTATACGAATGATATTATTGTGTATATAAAATAGTATTATAAAATAATTTGTTGTCGTACTTAATCCTGTAATTCCATTTGCTACTTTTTTAGTAGGTGCCTGCAGTATTAACCTATTATCAATGATAATGTAATGATAAAATTATGATAAGATGAATAATATAGTTAATAATAGCATTTCGAATATATATTAAATGTAGAATAATATTTAATTTTTTTTTCTTATTCGAATAATATTTTTTTTTACAAATATCAGTTTACAAATTATTAAACTAACAAAATTACATATTTGAGTAATCTTACTGCTTTTATAATAATAAAAAAATATATACAAATATGGATGGAATAAGGAATTTAATTTTATTTGTACGCTTAATCAATAGGAATATCTGATTGCTATCCTTGAATGTATTAAATTTTGTATAATTAATATAAAAATAATGATAATTATATTAATA